GTGAAAGGATACAACCCTGACACACACCTTTCCTGATTCTAAACCACTCAGCATCCCCTTATTCTGTTCAAATGACTGCCTCTTGGTTATGTACAAGTTCCTCATGAGCACAATTAAGTGTTTTGGAATTCCCATTCTTCTCAGTGTTATTCATAATTCATTATGAACCACACAGTCGAATGTCTTTTCATAGTCAATAAACACAAGTGAACATCTTTCTGGTATTCTCTGCTTCCAGCCAAGATCCATCTGACATCAGCAACGATATTTCTCATTTCAATTCCTCTTCTGAATCTGGCTTGAATTTCTGGCACTTCCCGGTTGATGATGTATTGCTGCAACTGTTTTTGAATGATCTTCAATAAAAAAAATTTACTTTTCTGTGATATTAATGATATTGTTCGATAATTTCCGCATTTTGTTGGATCACCTTTCTTTGGAATGGTCACAGATATGGATCTCTTCCAGTCTGTTGGCCAGGAAGCTGTCTTCCAATTTCTTGGCATAGACAAGTGAGCACTTCTAGCACTTCATCTGTTTGTTGAAACATCTCAATTGGTATTCTGTCAATTCCCGAAGGCTTTTGTTTCACCAATGCCTTCAGTGCAGCTTGGACTTCTCCCTTCAGTACCATCGGTTCTTGATCCTATGCCACCTCCTGAAATGGTTGAATGCCAACCAATTCTTTTTGGTACAGTGACTCTGTGTATTTTTTCCATCTTCTTTTGATGTTTCCCATGTCATTAAATATTTTCCTGGTAGCATCCTTCAGTATTGCAGCTTGAGGCTTGAATTTTCTCTTCAGTTCTTTCAGGATGAGAAATGCTGAAGGTGTTTTTCCCTTTTGGATTTCTAACTCTAGGTCTTTGCACATTTCATTATAATACTTTACTTTGTTTTCTCGAGCTGCCCTTTGAAATATTCTGTTCAACTCTTTTGCTTCATCATTTCTTCGTTTTGCTTTATCTACTCTATGTTCAATAGCAAGTTTCAGAGTCTCCTCTGACATCCATTTTGGTCTTTTCTTTCTCTGCTGTCTTTTTAATGACCTCTTGCTTTCTTCATGTATGATATCCTTGATGTCATTCTACAACTTGTCTGGTCTTCAGTCATTAGTGGTTAATGAGTCAAATCTATTCTTGAGATGGTTTCTAAATATAGGTGGAATATACTTAAGGTCATACTTTGGCTCTCATGGACTTGTTCTAATTTTCTTCAGCTTCAACTTGAACTTGCATATGAGTAATTGATGGTCTGTTCCACAGGCGGTCCCTGGCCTTGTTCTGACTGATGATATTGAGCCTTCCATAGTCTCTTTCCACAGGTGTAGACAATTCGATTCCTGTGTGTTCCATCTGGAGAGGTCCATGTGTATAGTCAGTTTTTATGTTGGTGAAAAAAGGGTATTTGAAAGAAAGGAGTCATTGGTCTTGCAAAATTCTATCACATGATCTCCGGTGTCGTTTCTATCACCAAGGCCATATTTTCCACCTACTATTCCTTTTTCTTTGTTTCCAACTTTTGAATTCCAATCGTCAGTAATTATCAATGCATCTTGATTGCATGTTTGATCAGTTTCAGACTGAAGAAGTTGGTAAAAATCTGCAATTTCCTCATCTTTGGCAGTAGTGGTTGGTGCATAAATTTGAATAATAGTTGTAATAACTGGTCTTCCTTGTAGGCATATGGATATTATCCTATCACTGACACTGTTGTACTTCAGGATAGATTTTGAAATATTCTTTTTGACAATGAATGCAACACCATTCCTCTTCAGTTTGTCATTCCCAGAGTAGTATACTATATGATTGTTTGATTCAATATGGCCAATACTAGTCCACTTTAGCTCAGTAATGCCTAGGATACTGATGCTAATGTGTTCCATTTCATTTTTGATGACTTCCAATTTTCCTAGATTCTTATTTCGTACATTCTACTTTCCTATTATTAATGGATGTTTGCAGATATTTCTTCTCATTTTGAGTCATGCCACATCAGCAGATGAAGTTCCCAAAGTTTGACTCCATCCACGTTGTTAAGATTGACTCTACTTTGAGGAGGCAGCATTTCTTCTGTGGTATTTTGAATGCCTTCAAACCTGAGGGATTCATCTTCTGGCAGTATATCAGACAAAGTTCTGCTGCTATTCATAAGGTTGTCACTGGCTAATTTTTCCAGAAGTAGACTGCCAGGTCCTTTTCCCTGGTCTGTCTCCATCTGGAAGCTCAGCTGAAACCTGTCCATCATGGGTGACCCTGCTGGTATTTGAAATACTGGTGGCATAGCTTCCAGCATCATAGCAACACACAAGCCACCACCGTACAACAAACTGACAAACGTTTGAAGGTTATACACATACAATGGAATATTATTGGGTCATAAAAAGAAATGAAATTCTCATACACGCTACGACATGGATGAACTTTGAAAACATTATGATAATTGAATAAACTAGACACAAAGGACAAATATTGCATAATCCTACTTACATGAAACATCTAGAATAGGCAAATTAATAGAGTCAGAAAGTAGAAGAGTTATTACCAGGGCTGGGAGGAGGAGGGAATGAGGGATTATTGCTTAGTGGGTACAGAAGTTTCTGTTTGGGATGATGAAAATGTTCTAGAAATTGATAGCAGTGAGTGTACTTAATGCCACTGAATTACACACTCAAAAATAGTTAAAATGGTATGTTATGCATATTTTCTCTCAATAAAAAAAATATTGAGGAAAAATAAAAGACACTCTTAAGAGAATGAAAAGACAAACCAAGACTGGAAAAAGAAAATAATTGGAAAGCATGTACCTGACAAAGGACTTGATTCCGGAATACATAAAGAACTCTCAAAACTCAGTAATATATTTTTTTTAATTAGAAAAGTAGGCCAAAGGTTTAAACAGGCATTTCACTAAAGAAGATAAATGTGTGGTGTGCACAGAAGGTTAATATGGCAGGCCTGAGACTGCTGCACTGAGATGGCTACTTGCAAGGCTGGCCCTTGGCTGGCATCTGGAAATCTGCGGGTAAACAATTCCCTACACCGATTTTTTCTAAATGGTAAGGATGGCTCATTGTGCCTAGACTGTTTTTGCAAACAACATGGTTTATACTGAACACCTGCTTTCCTGTTTGGAGTCCAGAATTTTGGTACATGGTAGGCAGAGAGTGCCTACCTGACCAGCCCCCAATAAAAGGGCACTGACTCTCTAGTGGGCTTCCCTGGGCAGAAACATTGTATGCATATGGCGGCATTTTCATTGCTGGGGCAAGAGTACACTCTATGTGACCCCTTGTGAGATGCCTGCACATGGATTCCTGCAGACTCTGCTGGGTCTTTTCCCTTATGATCCAGCATCGTGTCTCTACTACATTCTTGTAATAAATCTTCGTGATGAGTACAACTATACGCTGAATTCCATGAGCTCTCCTAACATAGGGGTGATCCTGTGAACCCCAACACAGTTGGAAAATAAGTAAATGAAAAAATTCTTACCATCATCAGTCAGCATGGAAATGTAAATTAAAACCACAATGAGATACTACTACACATCTGTTGTTGTTAGGTTCTGACTCATAGCAACCCTATGTACAATAGAATGAAACACTGCCCGGCCCCACACCATCCTCACAATTGTTGCTATGTTTGAGCCCATTGTTGCAGCCACTGGGTCAATCCAACTACACGTCTACTAAAGCAAAAAAAAACAAACCAGTTGCGTTCAAGTTAGCTCTGACTCATGGTGACTTAAGTGTGCAGAGTAGAACTACTCCATAGAGTTTTCATGGCTGTGGCCTTTTGGAAGTAAATCGCCAGGCCTTTCTTTTGAGGCACCTCTGGGAAGGTTCAAACTGCCAACCTTTTGGTTAGTAATTGAGCACTTGTGCCACCAACGGACTCCACACATCTACTAGAATGGCTAAAATTAAGAGGACAGACCATACCAAGTGTTGGCGAGGACAGCTGCTGGACTGTAACCACAGTTTGCTGGCTTCTTAAAAAGTGAAATGTACACCCACCACATAATACAGCCATTCCACTCCTAGTTATTTATCTGAGAAATGAAACCATATATCCAGACAAATACTTATAGGAGCTTTGCTTGTAGTAGCCAAAAACTGCAAACTAAGTGTTCATCAACACTTTCAATATACTCATCCAATGGGATACTACTCAGCAATAAAAAGGAGGGAACTATTGATACAAGCTACAACATGCATGAATCTCGAAATCATTATGAGTGAAAGAGCCAGGCCAAAAAAAAAAAAAAAAAGGAGTTGTATTCTTCCATTTATATAAAAGTTTAGAAAATGCAAACTAATCTATAATGACAGAAAGCAGATCAGTGGTTGCCTGAAGGGGCAGGAGGGAAGAATTACAAAGGGGCATGAGAAAACTTTGGGGGGTGATAGATACGTTCACCATATTGATTGGGGCAATGGTTTCTTGGGCAATACATATTCAGAATTTATCAAATTGTACACTTTAAAGATGTGCAATTTATTTTATGTCAATTATATACCTCAATAAAGTTGTTTATTTTAAAAAGTATATATAGTATGAATTTATAAGTGCTTAAAAATATTTACAGAGGGAAAAGTGAATTACCTGAGACTTTCCAAGTCCAAGCACGTTAGCTTGGAACTGGGACCAAAACTTCAAATTTGTAATCCACGATGCTACAAAGACTTAGTGTCAACAATCTGATCACTGATCGTCTGTAAGACAGTTTAGTGACAGCGAACTCTTCACTACCCTTAAAACTTAATGAATATTCTGGTGTGAGCCACCACAAATTTCAAGATCTTTTCACTACTGAATAATCTTTTTGTCTACCTTGAAATGGACTTTCAGTCTTGGATAATGTTTTCAACAACCAATAGCAACAGAAGAGAAAAGGCAACAAAATTTTAAAATACTGCAAAGTCGCAAAAGGCTTTCCCCTAGTAGCTGGAAGAAAGAGAAGCAGAGTTTTTATGATTCGTGAACCCCGATACTTACAGCCCCTTTGCAGTAGAGCCGAAGTTGTCCTGTAGGAGTTCGGACAATTACAGACATCCTTTTTCTATTACTAGAACAATATAAAAAAGTATTATTAGTTTCTCTTAGTTACCTGACTCTAAAACCAAAAATACGAAAGTCAAAGGAATTCCAATAGTCTAGAATTTTGTTACATGCTAGGTGGAGAGTGTTTACCTAACCAGCCCCCAGTAAAAGGGCGCTGAGTCTCTACTGGGCTGACAGTCAGTAAAAAGTCCAATATACTTTAGCAATGGCCAGTCTCCATGTCCTTTTCTTTAACTCATTCCTTAAACGGAGGTTCTAATTCTAAATCTCCACTTCCTCTTCCTCTTCCTATTTCTCTGTCACTGTCTTTTTCTTCCATGGAAATTTACTAGCACAACTAAATGCAACTTGGTCATTAAAAAAACTGATGGGGAGAGAGGAAGGCAGCCTTGGGCTCTGTGCTTTATATGTATCATTCAGTCCTCACTACATCCCTATGAAGCACCCATTTTGTTGCCATTTTGCCAGACAGAGATGTTACATTGACTGCCCAATAGCTGCCAGAGAGTGTTGCCTATATAGTTCTGTCTCAAAGGCTCCAGGTTTTCTTCTTCTTCGCACGGTTGTGGACAGAGCTCAAATTCATTGCTTTTATCTGTATCTCAGAATACAGATTGAATAAGTACAGTAAAAGGACACAACACTGACACACACTTTTCCTGATTTTAAACCACGCAGTATCCTCTTGTTCTCTTCGGCTGACTGCCTCTTGGTCTATGTACAGGTTCTGCATGAGCACAGTTATGTGTTCTAGAATTCCCATTCTTCTCAATGTTATCCATAATTTGTTATGATCCACACAGTCGAATGTCTTTGCATAGTCAAGAAAACACAGGTAAACATCTTTATGGTATTCTTTGCTTTCAGCCAAGATCCATCTGACATCAGCAATGATATCTTGTTCCACATCCTCTTCTTAATCTGGCTTGAATTTCTGGCAGTTCCCTGTTGATGTACTGCTGCAACCATTTTTTTTTTTTTAATATTTTATTGTACTTCAGGTGAAGGCTTACAGAACAGATAGTTTCTCATGTAACAGTAACACACATGCTGTTTTATGACATTGGTTAACAACCCCACAACATTTTAACCCTCTAAATTCTCAACTTTTTTTTTTTTTTTGGTGAAAATACACATAGCCAAAGATACGCCATTTCAAAAATTTTTTTACATACACATTTAAGTGACATTGACTATGCTCTTCTAATTGTGCTGTTATTCTCACTTAAGATGAAGGCTTACAGGACAAAATAGTCTCCCATTTAACAGTTACTACAAATGAGCTGCAACCATTTTTGAATTATCTTCAGCAAAATTTTACTTGCCACCTCGCGTCTGTCAGTTTGTCATACTGTGGTGGCTTGCATGTTGCTGTGATGCTGGAAGCTATGCCACCAGTATTTCAAATACCAGCAGGTTTCAGAGGAGCTTCCAGACTATGGCAGACTAGGAAGAAGGACCTGGCAGTCTACTTCTGAAAAAATTGGCCAGTGAAAACCTTATGAATAGCAGCGGAACATTCAATTAGTAGTTGAGTGCAAACCATTTGTGCCACCCAGGGACCTTTCACTGTCTATTTTTAGAGAAATAGTTTTTACTTTATTTGTGAGAATAGTTTCTGAATCCATCCATTCATCAAATGTTTCCTGAGTACTTTCTAGGCACCAGACTCTGTGTGAGATGATTCCTGTCCTCATGGAGTTTACAGTCATTAAATAACAGTCCAGATTTAAAATTGCAAGACTTGACTGGAAAGGAGAGGTGCATCAACCCATGTGAGCCAACAAAGCGAGAATGGGGCCCAGTGAGGGCTGAAGCCGTGAGAACTGAGCTGACGTGTGGAGCACAGGTAGAGGCTGACTAGCATGTCATGATCTTGTACTAAAGTTTTGGTTTCATGGCCAAGTCTCAGTAGAGTAACCATGGACATAGCCCTGGGAAATAAACAAAGTATATGAAAAGGTAGCTTACCTGGAAAACCCCAGGATGCTGAGAATTTCGAATGTGAATTGTTCTCCCATCTACAGGAAGGTAAAGCAACATATTCTTACCTGGGAAAGAAAGTATTTGTCTAGCAAAATAACTCACTCCCCCAACCACAAACAAGCTTTACACTCCAGGTACACACCTTTTTCAAAGTGCAACTTTTCTTACAAGCTTGATGAGACGAAGGTATCTTCCTATGGTAGAAACGTTGTTTGCCACCTGGGCAAACGTTTCTGACAGTGCCAACAGGAGACCTAGACAACAGGTGTTCCCATCTAAAATTGGTGCTGTCAGAAACATTGTATAAACACTCTCAGGTGGGGGAGGTACATGTGGTACCTGCAACAACCAGCAGGCAGCAGTGTAAGTACAAATAAAATCGCACAGATTAAATGAAATCCTTCATGCTTAGGTAATTTGAAGGGGTAAAGATGGAAAGAGGTGGCATGCTATAAAATTTTATAACTATGAAATATGCTTTCTTTCTTGTGTTTTTCCGGTTACAGCCTCTTGACCTCCTGTTGCTAGGCAAGGTACCATCGAGTTGGTTCTGACTCATAGTGACCTGACCCTGTGTATAAGAGAATGAAATGTTGTCGGGTCCTGTGCCATCCTTACAATAGTAGGTATGTTTGAGCCCATTGTTGACCTCTTGTAGCCATGATCCATTTATTTCTGAACCTACCAGCTCCCAGTTTCACCAATATAAAAAACAAAACAAACAAACAACCACAACAAAAAAAGTTGCTGTCAAGTCAGTTCTGATTCATAGTGACCCCGGAGGACACAGCAGAACTGCCCCAGAGGGTTTCCAAGGCTGTAATCTTCATAGAAGAAGACTGCCAGGTCTTTCTCCCAAGGAGCAGCTGGTAGGTTCAAACCATCAACCTTCTGGTTGATAGCTGAGCACTTTAACCACTGAGCCACTGGGGGCTCCTTTTTATCACCAGTATAGCACTGAAGAATTTAAGGAATTTAAGAGCCTTCCATATGCCGGGTACTATGGATATAAAGATGAACTAACCAGTCCCTTCTACCAAGGACTCAAAGTCTCGTAAATACACAAACCATCACATGTATTCCTAGAAAAGTGAAAAATCAGTTAGTCGACTAACATGTTTACTTTCCTTCAATTTGTTTTTATAATATCAAAGACTTGTGGTGAATGATTATCAAAACAAAACAAAGTAATATATGTAATAAAGTCAATACCAGAACCAGTTGCCATCCAGACCCCATGTGTTTCAGAGCTGAACTGTGCCCCATAGGGTTTTAAATGGCTGTGACCTTTTGGAAGTAGATCTCCAGGCCTTTCTTTCGAGCTGCCTCTGGGTGAATTCAAACTGCCAAGCTTTCAGTTAGTAGCTAAGGGCTTAACTCTTTGCACTACCCAGGGACTGCAATAAAGTCAATAAATCAGTATAATAATAGAACTCACTGTAAAAAATATTTTGAACCATTTTAGTTCCTCATAGGAAAAAAAAATAGTATATTTCTTGAAGGTTCAATGATTCAAACTCTTTGGAACAGCTCACTTTTATTGAGCACTTACTCTGTGCTAGGCACTAATTCCAATTACCTTACATATGATAGGATAAGAAAACTTCACAGAGAAGCTAAGTAATGCGCCCAGAATAATGGCTGGAAAGTTGCAAGGCCAGGACTAACTTCAGTGGCTCCAGAGCTCATAGTCTGAACCACTGTACCTCGTGCTCCACTGGAAGACCAGATGGACATAAAACGTGGAAAAGTATACAAGGTCCTACTTACAGTTTCGATGATAACAGAGTACGGTGTTCTTGTAGTGAAAACAAAGCCAAGTTTTTTTGCTGCTTTCACTAAAGCCACTTCATCTGCCAATAAGGAGTCCATATTAGTAGGGACTGAGCCAATATATTAACACTGGATTTAATGTAATACAGATTTCTATTTGCCAGCACTAAAAATATCGTGTCATTTATAAACTTGACCTTTTTATTGAAATGGCCTGTCTGTGCGTCTAGGTACTATTTAGTGTGCATGGAAGAGGAAATTTGATTAAATTGGGCCTCTTGCAATGGAGCCAAAATGAATTCACCAGACTGAAAATGCAATGCTTCCTTCCTACTCATTGTTGGGATGTTTGCAAGGCCATTAGCATCTTCATGAAATGAAGGGCCTTAATCTTACCTCTGCCTTGGTACTGATAATAACTAAATGTGCTTACTGGGGCCCAGGCACACTCCCTGGCCCCCTTTGGGATATCTTTCAGAGCTGGAGGGCACAAGGATCCCAGGAGCTCTAACATGAGTGAGTCACTAACATGAATGACCTAGACCTGTAAGGACCCAGAGGAGCAATCTAGGGGACCTGCAACATCACCACCTCTGCTGAGTGCTTGTCACAGGCCAGGCTCAATGAGCTCTGGGCACGGAACACCTACCTGGAGAGGAGGCCTGGTAAATGATGTCATTTCCATGTTTCTCAGGAACAACAGTGTGGCACACACATAAAAGGGTAAGAAATTCCTTGATATATTCTTCTGTGGGCTACAAAACAAAGGAGAAATCAGTGCATCACTTCCCATGCCAGTGTCACCAGAGTTCTCTTCTGCAGTTGATACTGGCTGAGGTTCAACTTAGGTGCGTACAGAGCCAGGCGCCAGCTAAAACCACACCATGCATTCACAATGGGTTTGTGGAGTGGCCACCCAGTCAGGGATGATGTGGGAGGCTGGGGAGACCACCGGAAACAACACGACTGTGCCCTCTCGGAAAATGTTCCCTCGGGAAGAATTCACTAGACATTGTGGAATCAATTAAGGAAGGTGACCTTGTTTAGTCACGTTGGATTAAAAATAAATTGGATTATACACAAGGGTTGTTTCACTATTACAGGAAAAAAAAATTTTTTTTCCTGTGATAATAAAAACCCATTGCTGTCGAGTCAATTCCAACTCATAGCAACCCTATAAGACAGAACAGAACTGTCCCATAGGGTTTCCAAGGCTGTAATGTTTACAGAAGCAGACTGCCATGTATTTCTCCTGTGGAGTAGTTGGTGAGTTCAGACCGCTGTCCTTTAGGTTAGCAGCTGAGCGCTTAACCACTGTACCACCAGGCTCCTTCTGTGAGAGTAGTGGACCTAAAGATTTGGAGAGTATAGATTTAGGTGCCAGATCAACAACAACTGCTCAGAGAGGTGACTGCGCCCTCACCACACTGCCTGCTTTATTATCTGCATAACACTTACGATCTGGAAATATCCCGCTCATTGCCTTGTGTACTGGTTTCCTGTCTGTCTTCTTCCTTCTAGAAGTAAGAAGAGAGCAGGCCCTCTGCCATGTCCCTGGCCCCTCGAGCACTGTAAGCAAGAAGGAAGGCACAGGACAGGAGGTTGGAGTCCTGTATGGGGACTTTATTCTAGTCGTACTGGGCAACCACTGAAGTGTCCTAAGCAGAAAGGTGACATGATCTGATTTATATTCATCAAGATCGCTTTGGCAAAGTAAGAATAGAAGCAGGAAGACCAGCCAAGAGGCCCTTGCCATTGGAGAGCGTTGTGAAAATAAGATAGGTTCGAGGCTTGCTGGTACAGGAGGGGAGGAGGGAAGAGAACAGCATTTAATAGATCCTGCCAATATTTTCAAAACATATTGGAGAGGAGCCAAGTCATTCATGCAAATCAATTGATAAAGACTCAGGACATGAAGATAGCACCCAGGAAACGTACTGAAGCAATTGTTTCTTATCCAACTCAAGGTCCAAGCCAAGCCCTTCGATGGCCTACTATTTTACACAATCTGCCCTGTACTGTCCTCCCCAACTCATCACCTCCTTGATTTCAACTCCCTTTTATGCACTCTGTTCTAAGCTACACTAAGCCCTTTGCTGTTCCCCAAAGGTTCCAGGTGCATGCTACCACCAGGCCTTCTGTTCTCTCTGCACTGACCTGGCTCTTTCTCCTCCCAGATATCCACAGGGCTTCATCTTTACTTCCCTTAGGTCTTTTCCCAAATAACACATTCTTAGTCAGACTTTCCCTTCTACCTTATTTTAAATTGCAACAACTCTCTATCCTCTTTTTCTACTTTATTTTTCTCCAAGACACTATCATTTTACATGCTAAATTGTTGTTGTTGGGTGCCATTATCAGCTGAGGACTTAACAATTGTGCCACCAGTGCTCCTTTTTTTCAATACTATGATAGAATGCGAATAGTAACCAATTCTTTTCAGCTGAACAATGGGGACTGTCTCTGCTCCTAAGCACGCCAGAAGCAGCTGCAGCCATGAACTGTGGGATGTTGTTCAGCTACTGCTTGGTATCCAGATGGAAACTGGGTTTGACATCAGTTTGCCAAATCCAACATGCCAGACTCTGTGCAATTTGGTTAAGTGAGCTCCTAATATGCCTTTGACTGACTGCCCTGGAAGAGGGCCCTGGGCTCTAAGGACTGTGCAGAGAAGAGCCGGCACTCAGCTCAGTTGGAGTGGATGTGCACCCAATGGACCAGCTCTTCCAACACCAGCAGGGCAGAAATACCCAGCCTATTGACTACCACAGGGGGCACTGATGGTTCAGTGATAGAATTCTCACGTTCCATGCAGGAGACCTGGGTTTGATTCCCAGCCAATGCACCTCATGTGCAGCCACCACCCATCTGTCAGTGGAGGCTTGTGTGTTGCTATGATGCTGAACAGGTTTCAGGGGAGCTTCCAGACTACTTCTACTTCTGAAAATCAGCCAATGAAAACCCTATAGATCACAATGGTCCAGTCTGCAACTGATCATGAGTATGGCGCAGGGCTGGGCAGCATGTCATTCTGTTGTGCACGGGGTCGCCATGAGTCAGAGGCTGACTTGATGGCAGCTAACAACAACACCGACCACCACACACAAACATCACTTTGACCTTGTAATGTATCCTTCCTGCCAAATCTGATTGACCCCTATTCTTCTGATTAAGGAGGCTGAAAGTGTTGTTCTGTAGTTTTGGAAATACTGAGAGGCAAAACAGACAATCATCAACAGGATGGGAAAGAAAAATTATCTCTGCTATCAGGATCACAGCCCAGTGGGAGGTGGACAAGTGTTAGGTTCTCCCCTGCTAATATTGTGGCCTCAGTTAAAAACCAGGGTCCAAAGCAAGGAATTCCTGTCTCAGCAGTCACGGGGTGTTGGGGAGAAGAGGGCAGGGGAGGAGGGAAGTTGGTGGCAAGCCCATAGTCCCCTTAGAGGAACTTTCTGCCATGCATCCTTGGGTCATCTTAGTTCATAAGGTGGTCATGCCCAAGCCAAGACTTTGCCAGCAATTCCCAGGAAAATTCTGAGATACTTTGACATTTCAACACAAGAAAATAGAGTAAGAACTTCTAGACTATAAGTGCAACAAATTCTGGCTGCAAGGATCCCATCCAGCCTCCACCCCAACCACAGAAGCCCCCTTGTATGGCAAGGATACTGTGGGTGCTGAAGCAGGGAAGCCCAATAGCAAGCGGACACTGGCCAGGACTATACCACGCAGATAGAGACAGTCTTACATACATTGCTGCATATTAAAATGTTCTTGTATAATGTTAAAATTCATCCACATTAATAAGCTCAGCTCATAACATCGTTGTAATATCCCTTGCTTACTGTGTGAAATCAAAAATTTTTCAAGTCTCTCTCTTGTTCCTGGGTTCAGAAAAGAATACCTTTTAGGAAGCCATATATATATGTTAAAGATATCAAGCACGACTCCATCAACTTAGAATGGAAATAGCAGACTTACATGCCCATTCTCAAAGTTCTTCAACAGTGCTGGGTCGTTAAATTCAGATTGATCTGTGATGAAAGGAGGTGACTGACTATGAAGAAGAATAAAGATTATTTTTAACAAAAAGTTCCTGAAGATAACAGTTGATGATGAAAAGGATCTAAAGAAAACATGTAGCTCAGTCTTCTGCTTTCAGTAAGGACCGACCTAAAAAGCCCACAGAACTATACTAAATATTTAAAGTTCTGTCAAATTATATATCCTTCCAGTCCCTGAGTTGCAAAATGGCATTAAAAGGTGCCTAAATGATCATCTAAATGAGACCAAACGGTCAGCATTTACTCAAAAGCAAAGAAGAGAAGGCAAGGGGCAGGGAAACCACATTACCGAAGCGGAACAACCAGAATGGAAACAATGAAAAAGTTGACACACTGAAAAATGTAGCCAATGTCACTGAACAAATTGTGTAGAAATTGTTAAATGGGAACTTAGTTTGTTGTGTACACTTTCATTGAAAACACAATAAGACATTTTAATTAAAGAAAATTGAATGGATGCTTATTGTATCCTTATATTGTTCTAGTGCTGACGTGAAGCCATAGGGGAAGGGAAAGGAAGGGCTTGTTCACACAATGATTTTCATTAATAAAAGCATTTGTTTTCTAGCAAAAAAAAAAGATGCTTACATGTGCATTCAGAGTATGATAAGGAGTTTGAGGCAGAGTAACTACAAAAGCAATAAATGAAAGTGCAGATTCTGTGTTGTTTGAATGCTTCATAGGGAAAATCTATCAAGAGAACCTTCTTAGCAACTGTTAATTTGAAGTCTGGATAAGGGAGAGATGTGTTATCATATGTAAGTATTCTGTCACAGATAAAAGTTTGTAGCAGGGGAAAAGGACAAAGGACAGAGTAGAAAAGAATGTTATCTGTTTACCTGAAATTTTCTGAATCAGGATTACTTGCTTCTGAGTGATTACTAAAGGAAAATGAGGGAAAAAATGCAACTGTTATAAGAAACGTAATCAGATGGACACATTATGCCAAATGGTTACTATATAATTTATAATCTCTATATTAGACTATACATATAAAACTTCCTGGGATTTCTAACTATGTAAAAAAAAAAGAAAAGCAGACATAAACCATATTTTTCAACAACTGAAAGTTTTCATTTCATCTTATTTAGATATAGGTACAGTATTAGAAATTCAGATAAATCCTGGAGTAAATAAAAGTTCATTAATTTTGTTGAAAAAAAAAGAGAGAGAATTTCCAACAGTATGGCAATGAAAACACTCACCCATAAATTATTCCTGCAATGGTACACTTCTTAAATGTCATAACATTGCATGTGAGGGTTCCCGTTTTATCAGAAAATACGTATTTTACCTAGACAAAGAAAAAACGAACACAAGAAAGCACCTGAATTTAGAATGTATTTCGAGAGAAAAGACAAGATGAAGTTCTTTCTTTTTAAAAGTTCAAAATATGTGACTTTTCATAAAACAAGGAGCTCAGTCTATAAGCATTCCATCATTAATATTTAGACTCCTTTCAAAAGTTCATCTCTTCTTTTTTTTTTTTTCTTTTCTTTTAAACCAGAGTTGAACTTATATGGTAATATGCAAAGTAAACCTAAGCCATCACACCTAAGAAAATTGGAAGTCCAAGCATATTTCTGCCACAAGAAATTTCATCCAAACTAATCCACATTGGTATAACCCTGGAAAGCTCTTAAGAATTTTCCCATAATTACAGTAAAAACTAATATCTAGAATTCATTAAGAACATATATGTGCATGTTGTTGTTGTCTTGTTAGGTGCTGTCGGGTCGGTTCTGACTCATAGTGACCCTATATACAACAGAACAAAACATTGCCCTGTCCTGCACCATCCTCACAATAGTTATGCTTGAGCCCTTTGTTGCAGTCACTGTGTCAATCTATCTCATTGAAGATCTTCTTCTTTTTCGCTAACTTTCTACTTTACCAAGCATGATGTCCTTCTCCAGGGACTGATCCCTCCTGATAACATGTCCAAAGTATGTGAGATATAGTCTCGCCATCTTTGCTTCTAAGGAATATTCTGGTTGTACTTCTTCCAAGACAGATTTGTACTTCTTCCAAGAGAGATCTGTACTTCTTCCAAGACAGTCCATGGTATATTCAGTGTTCTCTGCCAACACCACAATTCAAAGGCATCAATTATTCGGTCTTCCTTATTCATCATCCAGCTCTCACATGCATAGTAGGCGATTGAAAACACCATGGCTTGAGTCAGGTGCACCTTAGTCTTCAAGGTAGCATCTTTGCTTTTCAACACTTTAAAGGGATCTTTTGCAGCACATTTGCCCAATGCAATGCGTCTTTTGATTTCTTGACTGCTGCTTCTATGGATATTGACTGTGGATCCAAGTAAAGTGAAATCCTTGACAACTTCAAGGAAAAAGAAAACCAGCCTCAAAATCATTTTAAACACAGTCGCAGCTATCATGCTCATTTCTAAAGACAGCACAGAGATTCTGCAGGTAATTACTTCTGTTTAACAAACAATGCAAAGCAATATGTGGTCAAATAGTTTTCAGGTCTTTGTAGTATTTGGGAAGAAGAGAGATACATTGATTAATTTTAGATTTTGTTCACTCAAAACCAAAAACCAAACCCATTACCGCTGAGTCAATGTCAACGTATAGCAACCCTACAGGCCAGAGTAGAACTGCCCCATAGAGTTTCCAGGGCTGTCATCTTTACAGAAACAGATTGTCACCTCTTTTTCCTGTGGAGTGGCTGATGGGTTCAAACTGCCAACCTTTCGGTTAGCAGCCAAGTGCTTAACCAATGTGCACTAGGGCTCCTCTTGTTCACTCAAGTAACCAAAGTAAATAAATAAACAAAAGTGGAAAAAATAAATTCAGGTATATAAGACACTATAAATCTGAAGTCTGAATTTTTCCAATAAAAAGGTAGATACTATTAGATATGCTGTAATCACACGTACACACACAAATATCACATTTAAACAATTTGTGATAAAAAAATAAAAATCAAGGATAGAAAAGAATAAATGAAAACAAAAGGTAGCAAAAATGGCAAAATTAACATGAGGCAAAGAGATGTTATGGTGCAGAGTACAAAACAAGTTAAAGAAAGATATTAAGCAATAATAAAAGACAAAACTTATGAGGGCAGTATGATACTCAAAAATCTGTATGAACCAAACAAAATATGAGTAAATGAATAAAGCAAAGAGAACTTAATAAAAATAAATAATACTTAGAGAATTGAGAACATTTCTTTCAGAACGGGACAGATTCAAATAAATAAAAAATAAGATAAAACATTGAAAACTATAAAACTTGATTTAATAAATACAGAACCTTATTTTTACTTTTAGCTTTCCTTATTTAATAATTAAAGCATTTATGGTCCTACATTATCTTCTGCATACAGCTTTGGCTGAATCCTCTAGGATAATCAGTTAATAGGATGGGGATAGAGAGAACAACATGCACACTTGCAGAGAGAAAAATGAAATAAGAAAAAAAAAAGGAGAAAAAATAAATTAAAAACATGAGACAACACTTTAGTGGTAGCATCTGTGGTCTGAAAAGCTTGTGAGTGGCCATCTGAGATATATCTATTGGCCCCATCCCACTCAGAACAAAGGAGAATGAAGAAAAGCAAAGACACAAGCAAAATACTAGCCCAAAGGACTAAAGGACCAAGTGAACCAGAGACTCCACCAGCCTGAGACTGGAAGAACTAGATGGTGCCCGGCTACTACCAATGACCACCCTGACAGGGGACACAACAGAAAGTCCTGGATAAAGCAGAAGAAAAATGTAGAACAAAATTCAAATTCATGTAAAAAGACCAGACTTAATGGTCTGACAGAGACTGGAGGAATCCCCCAAACTTCGGCCCCCAGACACTCTGTTAACTCAGAACTGAAACCATTCTCGAAGGCCACTTTTCAGACAAAGATTAGATAGGGCTATAAAGTAAAAAATAATACACGTGAGGATTGTGCTTTTTAGTTCAGTCAAATATATGAGACCAAATGGGCAGCTCCTGTCCAAAAGCAGAATGAGAAGGCAGGAAGGGACAGTAACTGGATGAATGGGCACAGGAAACCTGGAGTGGAAAGGGGGAGCATGCTGTCACATTGTGAGGATTGCAACCAAGTCACAAAACAATAATGTATATAACTTTTTGAGTGAGAAATTAACTTGAGCTGTAGACTTTCACCTAAAGCACAATCAAAAAAAAAAAAAAAAAAAAGGGATAAATACAAAGCACATAATAAGATGGTAGAAATGAATACTATTTTTTCAGTCACAAGAACAACAAGACTAAATACTTAAATTGAAAGATTGTCTTTCTCCATCTAGGTCAATTGGCATAACAAAGCTTATTAAGAAAATGTTCTGCATCCTACTTTGGTGAGTGGCATCTGGGGTCTTAGAAGCTTGCAAGTGGCCATCTAAGATGCATCAATTGTTCCCAACCACCTGGAGTGAAGGAGAATGAAGAATACCAAAGACACAAGGAAAATATTAGCCCAAGAGACAAAAGGGCCACATAAACCAGAGACTTCATCAGCCTGATACCAGTAGAACTAGATAGTGCCTGGCTACCACCAATGAACGTCCTGACAGGCAACACAACAGAGGGTCCCTGATGGAGCAGCAGAAGGATGCAGTGCAGAACTCAAATTCTAGTAAGAAGACCAGACTTAATGGTCTGACTGAGACTGGAGGTGCCCCAGAAAGCATGGTCCCTGGACTCTGTCAGCCCAGAACTAAAACGATTTCCGAGGCCAACTCTTCAGACAGGGATTGGACTGGACTGTGGGACATAAGGTGATACTCGTGAAGCGTGTGCCTCTTAGCTCAAGTAGATACAAGAGACCAAAGGGGCAGCTTCTGTCCACAGGTGAGATGGGAAGGCAGAGAGAGTTAGGAGCTGGTTGAATGGTCATGGGGAATCAGGGGTGGAAAGGAGGAGTGTGTTGTCGCAGAATGGGGTGAGCAATTAGGGTCTCATAACAATGTATGTAAAAAAAAATTTTGTGTGGGAGACTAACTTGAATGTAAACTTCATCTAATTACAACAATAAAAAAAAAAAAGATTGTCTTTCTCTAGAGGACTGGAGGAAAAATAAAATCCATCTATATAGTGTTTATAGGAGTACACTTAAAACATAAATCATATAAATATTGAAAAAATACAGATGGCAAAATTGACAGTGAGCAAATACCAATAAAAAAAATGTTGGAGTAGGTATGATATTAATCAAACACAACAGACCCGAGGTTTAAAAAAAAAAAAAAATTTAGAAAAAGAGGTTTACTCCAAAATAATAAACGACTAGATTAACTGAAATTATAGCAAAACTAAATTGCATGTAACTAATAATATGTAAGGAGCCCTGATAGCACAACTGTTAAACTCTCGACTATTAACCAAAAGGTCAGAGCTTCAGGAGAAAGACCTGGAGGCTGCTCCCGTAAAGATTACAGCCTAGAAAACCCTATGGGGCAGCTCTACTCTGTCTTATGCGGTCAGTATGAGTCAGAATCAACTCGACCACACCCAATAATAAAAACAACAGTATGGTTCTTGAACATATAAACCAAAACTAACAATAAAAAAAGGAAAATTCATAAATGAATAATCGTATTGCCTAAATCTAGCAAACCCCTCAGTAATTGATAGATTAAGCAGATAAAAACCAGAGCATGGACAGACAGACCACTGGAGCAGTACAGAAAGTCTAGCAAAGACTCAAGAACAGACAATAAAAGCAGCATCTCAAAATACTCGAGAAAAGACAGATTCTTTAAATAAATGCTTTGGGGACAAATGGATAGTTATTTCAAAGAAGACAAATTGGTTTCATACCTGACACCAAACAAAAGAATAACTATAAATAGATCAGAGATGTAAATGTAAAATACGAAACTTTACAAGTACTAGAAGAAAACACCAGTAAATTCCTTTACAACCTGGGTGTGGGGAAAGACTATGACTCAAAGTTTAGAGGCAATAAATAAAAAAATGTATAAGTTCAATTATATTAAAACAATATTTTACTAAAAAAATCACTACGAGTAAAGTCAAAAGACAAAGTGGGTGGAAATATTTGTAATACATATCACAGATAAAGGCTAATATCCCTCTAGAGAAATACTAAAAATCCAGGGAAAAAAGACCAAACCCAATACAAAACAAGGCAAAGGGCATCAACAGACAAGTAAGAAGATACAGAAATGCTCCTTAAACATATGAAAAGATATTCAACTTTACTAATCCTGTTGTTATTGGTTGCCTTCCAGTCAGCTCTGACTGTTTCGGTTAACAGAACAAAATGTTGCTTGGTCCTGCACCATCTTCATGATTGTTGTTATGTTAGAGTCCATTGTTGTGGCTGTTGTGTCAATCCATCTCACTGAGGGTTTCCCTCACTTTCAATGACCCTTTACTTTACCAAACAAGATGTCCTCTTCTAGCAATTGGTCTTTCCTGACGCCATGTCCAAAGCAAGTGAGCCAAAGTCTCGCCATTCTCGCTTCTAAGGAACATTCTGATTGTATTTCTTCCGTGACTGATTTGTTTGTTCTTCTGGCAGTCCGTGTTATATTCAATATTCTTCGCCAGCACCGCAATTCAAATGCATCAATCCTTCTTCGGTCTTCCTTTTTCTTTGTCCAGCTTTCATATGCATACAAAGCGATTGAAAATACCATTGCTTGGGTCAGGCACACCTTCGTCATCAAAGTGACATCTTTGCTTTTGAAAACTTTAAAGAAATCTTTTGCTGCTGATTTTTCCTAATGCAATATTGCTTTTGATTTCTTAACTGCTGCTTCCGTGGACATTGATTGTTGATCCAAGTAGACCGAAATCATTGACAACTTCAATTGCTTCTTCATTTATCATGATTTTATCGGTCCAGAAAATTTAAACTACACTGAAGAACCATCACTTGCCTATAAGGCTGGCAACAATTCAAAAACATAAAAACACAATCTGTGGGCAAGGCTGTTGGGAAACAGCCACTCAGAATGCTGCTGGGGATGGAAAGTAACACCAACTTATGGTAACCAGACTCCCTACACACTTACCCTCTGACTCAGCAGTCCAACTTCTAGGAATTTACCCTGAAAATACTCCTCCAGCAATATACTAAAACACAAATCTAGCAAAAGATGGAGTGTATTATAAAACTTACCAGGAAGATAGTTCACATGATGTAAATTGTTGTTAGCTGCCATTGAGTCAGCCCCGACTCATGGTGACACCATGCACAATGAAATGAAACGCCGCCAGGTCCTGCGCCATCCCCATGATTGGTTGCAGATTGGACCATTGTGATCTTAAGGTTTTCATTGGCTAATTTTCAAAAGTAGATTGCCAGGCTCTCTTCCTAGCCCATCTTAGTCTGGAAGCTTTGCTGAAACCTATTCAGCATCATAGCAACACGAAAACTTCCACTGACAGATGGGTGGTGGCTGTGCATAAGGTGCATTGGCCATGAATCAAACCTGGGTCTCCTGCATGGAAGGTGAGAAGTCTACCACTGAACCACTATGACATCCCGAGATTTAAGTAACATGTTTTACTGAATCAGAGCACAAGATTTGGACAGCAGTAAAAAAGTGGAAGTCCCTGGTTGGCATAAATGGCTGCTATGCAAAAGGCTGGAGGTTTGAGTACACCCAGAGGTGCCTTGGAAGAAAGTCCTGGAGATCTACTTCCAAAAAATCAGCCACTGAAAACTCTATAGAGCACAGCTCTCCTTTGACACACACCGGGTCGCCATGAGTCGGATTCGACTTGACGGCAACTGGTTAAAGTAGAAGCTCTATTATTGCCTCCAGCTGCTGTGGGCAGTTGCTGAGGTTTGGCAGATGTCAGATTTTGCAGCGGCTTCTGGAGGCTTCCCTGTGAGTCATCTGCCTCAAGGAAGCAGAGAGTGGTGGCCACCACCTAGAGGTGCCAGTCGTTCCTGTGAGGTCTGGACTTTCTGAAAGCTGATGATGGACTGAGAACTAATGACAAGTTGAGAGCTAACAGCAGCTTTCCCTACCTCCCTCCTCCAGCTCATTCACTCTTTTGTAAGCCTCCCAGTTCTCTCTGCATTAAGTTATCTTCCTGCTTAAAACCCCATGATGTCGTGTTATCAATATTTTGAACAAATTATACTTTTAAGTCCCCACCTGCTCCACAAGTGTCAATTTAAACTATACCCTGTGGCTGAAGGTGGCACTTTAACTATGCATAAACTCTTCCTAAAATCCTCCTTTGATGCTCCCATCCTGGAAGCCTAATCCTGAAAGTGGCTCTCACCTGCCCCAGCTCTTCATTGAGATTTGACGTTCTGGCTGTGGCATAGAGGTTGTTTTCTTTAAAGTGCATGTCTTCATCCTGCAAGAAACAAAAATACAGTCCAAGCCACAGAGTCAGAACTAAAGCTCGAAGTTTCTTCAGGAAGTCTATACAGTCCCTCATGTTCAGTGCGATTGCCACTGGAAAGAATTCACAATGGAGAGTCTAGAATACTTGGATTTAAACCGATACGTGCTAGTTTCTCACATGTACTGGGAGAGTCAATTCAGAAGAGGCAGTGCCACAGAAGAACAAAGGTGGCTGTGGTGGTGGTTTGTAATTGGGAGACTTGGCTTTCAGATCCTGGCTCAGCCTCAGACACACTGTATGACCCCGAGTAAGTTAATGCACATCTCTGTGCCTCAGTTACTACACCTGTAAAATGGGAGTAAGAACATGGATCTCATGGTATGTTTGTAAAAATTAAATGAGAATGTCTTTGAAAGCACTTCCTCACACATTGTGACTGTTAAAATAATATCCCCTTTCAAATGATGGTAATCCAATGACATATTGAAAGGATATTTTTGATATATGACATTAGCAATAATTTTATTAAAAAGGAAAGTATTTTAAAGTATAACTAAGAATTTCAACCCCACATTCTAATTGGAAAATTAGTTTGTTGAACTTGCTAAGTATTAACTACCATCAACACAAAGCTGTCACCTAAGAAATCTCTTCCTTAATTTGAAGCGATTCTGGAATGACTACGGGTCTGTCATTCTTTCCATGTATATGGCTTCCAAGACGTCAGAGTCCATCAGTAAGTCTACTGGACCCTGCCCCTCTTCAAGTAACTTGAATTTTAATGGATTAACTATCTCCTATCAGTTTCTATTGAAAGTGACACTCAAAAACTATCTCTTAAATCTTTCTTATCAGCCAAAATAAAACCGGAAAATATGATAACCTCAGAGTGACCCAGAGAGGCCCAGGTTAACACCAGGTTAATATCAGTACTTGGCTTGACTTGAGAGCATCAGGGGGTCAGTCAGCTGCACTGGCCCTGTCATAAGAATAAATAAACCCAAACCAGTTTCCATAAGGTTGATTCTGACTCATGGCGACCCTGGGTGTGCAGAGTAGAACTACTCCATAGTGTTTTCAAGGCTATGACCTCTCAGAAGCAGATCATCAGGCCTTACTTCTGAGGTGCTTCTGGATGGGTTCAAACCACCAACCTTTTGGTCAATAGTTGAATGCTTCACTGTTTTCACCACCCAGGGACTCCTCTCAAATATGATAGCTGGCACAGGACCAGGCAGTGTTTTGTTCTGTTATATATAAAGTCACCACGAGTTGGAGTCAATTCAATGGCAACTAACAACGATTCTTAATAGGATTCTTAGAAAGAAAAAAAAGCCGTAGCTTGAGAGAGAATGTTTTAACTCTCTGATTTTAATACTCACCCAGTTTATAAACAGACCTTGAATATATTTCACAATTTCAAGGGTCACCAGCAGACTAATGGGAATGAGATTGTGGTACAAGATGATGAAGACCAATAGGTCAAACGCAAAGTTGCCGGAGGTGAAATCTATGGAAGAAAATTAGAGGAATCACGTCACAACTTCAGGTACTATATTTTATTGTATTGTTTGTTTAAAATTTTTGGAATTTCACCATGAAAATTACTATTAAAATATAGCTGTTGATGTTAGGTGCTGTCTACTCTAATTTTGACTTATAGTGACCCCATGTGACAAGGTAGAACTGTCCCATAAGGTTTCGTAGGCTGTAATCTTTAGAAGCGAAGATGGCAATACTTCATCTCACCTACTTTGGACATGTTATCAGAAGGGACCAGTCCCTGGAGAAGGACATTATGCTTGGTAAAGTAGAAGGTCAGGAAAAAAGAAGAAGACCCTTGACAAGATGGATTGACATAGTAGCTGCAACAATGAGCTCAAACATAACAATGATCGTGAGGATGGTACAGGACCAGGCAGCAATTTGTTCTGTTGTACATAGGGTCACTATGAGTTAGAATCAACTGGTAAGGGAGCAGATCGCCAGGTCTTTCTCTTGTGGAGCAGCTGGGTGGGTTCAAATTGCCAGCCTTTCAGTTAGTATTGAACTCTTAACCATTGAGCCACCAGGGTCCCTAAAGTATAGTTAAGTGAACGCAAATACAAATTGGTTTTTAAAATATTTGTTAGGCACCAACCATGTAATAGGTAGTATGGGAAGCATTGGAGATACAAGATCTAATAAGACAGAGAGCTTAGATCGTAGCTTGAGAAAACAGTTATGGCATGATGGATCCCATTAAGTGCGATGACTGAAACACAAAGTGGACTATCTAGAAAGGAGCCGCAGAAAAGGGGGTGAGCAAAGTTTTGAAGAAGTGAGTTTGTTAAATGCAGGAGGTGAGGGGAAGGCAATGAGGAGGACATTCTAGCTAGAAGTAAAAGTATGTGTGAAGTCATAGAGATGAGAAACAGCAATTGGAAAACTGTAAACGTTAAATATAACTTCATAATAATTACTTTTTAAAACTCAGAAAGAAGGAAAGTGAGGTTTAAAGAAAAGATAAACGTGATACTTGGTAAAATCTAGTGATTTAAAAAAATTTTTTTAAAGATGGGTGTGTTTATAAGTGTAATTTTCCAAAAAGAATTCAACCTAATTTCACAGAAAGCTACCTAAAAGCCTCTAGAAAGTGTTCAGTGGATATATGCTCACTGACTTATAAAAAATTTCTAAAAACTTGTATCTTACGTCTTAAATGGCCCAGTGGTTAAGAGCTACAGGTGCTAACCAAAAAACAGGCCAGCAGTCTGAATCCACCTGCCCCTCCTTGGAAACGCTATGGGGCAGTTCTCCTCTGTCCTGCAGGGTTGCTATAAGTTGGAATCAACTCAATAGCAACAGATTTGTACTGTTGGAAGGAAGAGGTGATAACTGAAAAGAAATAAATACAAATTACTTTGTAAAGGAAACAGTTAATCAATCACAAATCTGTATTAATACAGGCAGAATTAAATAGTAACTATTATTTGTAAGTTAAAATCTTGGAGCCATTCTTCTTAATAGAGACCATACCTGTAATTTTAGAACAATAGTAGCTAAATCTAGATTTCTAAATTCCATCAACCCAAAACTGAAGCTTGATTTACTATCACATCTATTCAAACTCTATCACCTCTTGTTTACTAATTTTCCCTTGTTGGCCATGATTATATTTTCATACTTACTATATTATGTACACAAAAATTCTTTCAAGAAAACTAGAGCCAGGAATGAGTATGACCATTTTAGAGAGAGAGAAATTTAGACAAAAATCTTTAGTGCTTTGTCAAATTTATCAATTACTGAAAATGCAGTTGTAACTTTAACACTCAATACTTTTTTTGTTTGTTTCTTTGTTTGCTTGCTTGTTTTTCCTTTTGGACAGGACTATCCTGGCCAGAGTAGTTTAGTTCAGAGCTATTTATGGGTTCTTATTACAAATAAGCCACTAACTTCCTTCTGTGATTTTTGGTAAAAATACAGAGTCTCAGCTTTATATTCCATATAACAAGGGCCAGGGCCAGAAAACTACAGAGTTCTGTTCAATTCTTACATTACTTCTTTTAGTCAATCAATTCATTACTGAGCTCCTGTTATGTAAAGGCGCTGTCCAGTGATAAGAAAACGATTCCCGTCCTCAAAAATTCACAATATAATGAAGGGGAGAGATAAATAAACAGTAATTATAAAAGATGATGGTGAATGGATGATCTCGATTAAGGATGTTGTTACAGAAGCCAAAGGAGAAGGTCCTGACTAAACCTTGGAGGAGGTAAAACTAGTGCATCTGCAGGAGGCAATGCCTCATCTTAGTCTGAAATTAGGAGTGGGAGTTGTCCAGGCATGGAGTGATCAAGGAGCATCTGTGGAGAAGGAACACAAAACCAAGGGCCTGGAGACTGAAACAGCCAGTAGATGGATTGGAGAGAGACAAGAAAAGTAGTCCTTGGTTGTTGTTGTTAGTTACTGTCAAGTCGATTCCTGCTTCAATGACCCCATGTGACACAGATGAAGTGTCCCATAGGGTTCCTAGGCTGTAATCTCGACAGGAGCAGATCGCCAGGTCTTTCTCCCAAGAAGCTGCTGGGTGAATTTGAACCCCCAACCTTTTGGTTAGCAGCTGAGCGCTTAACCACTGCGCCACCTGGGCTCCTTATAGTCCTTGGTTAGTGGAAAGTAAAGTGCTAAGTAAGAAGTGTTGAGATAGCATGCTATGAAGATAGGATCAGATTACAGATGTTCTGATGGGCCATGCTGAAGGAGGTTCTAACTACCCTGCAGACCAGGGGTTGGCAAACATTTCCTGTGAAGGGACAGAAAATTAATATTGTAGACTTGGCGGGCCATCTGGTCTGTGGTGCAACTATTCAACTCTGCTGTTGTGACACAAAGCAGCCACAGATAGTTTGTCAACGAATGACTGTGACTGTGTTCCAATAAAATGTATTTACAAAAACAGACAGGGGGCTGGGTTTGACTGCAGAGCATGGTTTGCCAACCCAATTGTAGGCAGTAGGAGACCACTAAAGCTGTCTTGACATATTCATAATTACATTATTTTTATATGCATCTTTCTGAAAATTACGTGAAGAATGAATTTGATTGTAACTTGACGGAGGGCTAGGCAACGAGTTAGAAGCCTTCGTGGTGCAATGGTTTAGCGTTCGCCTGCCAACTTGAAAGGTTGGCGGCAGTCTGAACCCACCACCCGCTCTGAAGGAGAAAGGCCTGACAGTCTTCTTCTGTAAAGATTACAAACTAGGAAACCCTGTGGGGCAGTTCCACTCTGTCCTATAGGGTCACTACGAGTCAGAATAAACTGAACAGCACAAAACAAAAACAACAAGAAAACCCAGAGGAAAAGAGCTGAAAATACTGAAAAAGTAGAATCAGCAAGACTTTTCGACTGACTGGCTGATGAAGTGGGTGTGGGTGGAAGTGGAGGAAGACAGGAAACTGAGAAGAAACCTTAAGGGGAAGTTTTACGTTTCTAACTTGGATAATGGATGAACGGCAGTACTTAGAATTTACACGGAGAATACTGGGAAAGAAACGAGTTGAGGAGGAAGAAGATGGGTTTTGTTTTGCACATGCTGAGCTGAGAAGCCCCCAGGGCATATGGAAAGCAATGTTTGGGCAGTAATGAGTTAATAACTCAGAGAGAGATCTGGGCTGGAGGCAAACAGGCAGAAGGTATCAACTGATGGTAGATAGATAGTTGAAATTATTACAGTAGATGAGTTCTCTCAGAAAGATTATCTGGGGTAGGAACAAACAACCCCCGAGAAACTTGAAGACTCTCCTCCAGGGGAAAAATGCACACATGCATATACATGTAAGAGGAATTTCTGGTAAACCCAGAACCTTGACAAACACCAGCATTTAAAAGGTTGTTTAAGGTTTCCAGGGATCAATTAGGGAAGAAATGGTTAAACAAAACCTAGAAGGTGGCAGAGAGGCCCCATAAGATTATGACTTTTAAAATGACCACTGGGCTTGTCAATTAGGATTTACTCATAACCTTGACCAACAACTTCAGTAGATTGGTTGAAGTGGGTGACAGATTAAAATGGGCCCAAGAGTAACTAGCAGGTCAGGATTCGGAAACAGTGTGGGTGGCCTCTTCTTTCAAGAAGTCTGATCAGAAAGGGAATAAAAGAGATTTAAGGTACCAGGAAGCGACTAAGGGGCCCTGGTGGTATAGTGGTTAAGCGCTTGGCTGCTAATCAAAATGCCGGCAGTTTGAACCACCAGCTGCTGCTTGGGAGAAAGATGTGGCAGTCTGCTTCCACAAAGATTACAGCCTTGGAAACCCTATGGGGCGGCTCTACTCTGTCCTATAGGGTCGCTATGAGTTGGACCCAACTGGATGGTAATGGGTTTGGTTTTCTTTTTGGTTTGGAAGGGAATGTGGAACACAGAATTCAGAGGAATGAAATAGACTTGCGGATACTCTGTTGGTGCAAGTCAGCAAAAGAAGAAGTTAAGGTTCTAAAGTGAATAGAATGAATATTGGAACAAGATTCCAGAAGAGGCACAGATGAAAGAATAATCCTGGAACAGTCAACATTGAGTCAAAGAAAAATAAAATATGAAGTTTTACGCCCTTCTATTAGAACTAGTCGGGATTGACTCGATGGCAGTGGGTTTGGTGTTTTTTTGTTGTTGTTGTATTAGAACTGTTTTAGTGCTCACCCTAAAAGTAATCTCTCTACAAGTAACACAAAGAGATTATCCAAGCAATAGAAATGTTATTCATGTATTTTCTCCAAAGTTTAATCTCCAATATTATACAGTATGTAGAACTTGACACATTTTATAGATAAATCTATGTATATATATGTTAAAATATTAGTGGCTTTTTTAAGATTTTATGTCTGTTTCAAAATAAGTTAATATTCACATTCTTGGTAGAGTAAATGGAAAAAACAAATTTAAACCCAGGTAACTTATTTAAAATAACCTAAATTCTATAAACTTGTAATCAAAACTGGACAAGTAACGTCTAAAAACCGGTATTCGTAAGAATGAACCCTTGATTTTTGATCCAATCTACAAAGTCTACGTCTTAGTTTCTTTGTTCCTAAAATGCTCCCAGACAGGTCTTCTCAAGGGTAGTTAGAACTATTTAAAATGCTGAGGTGAAAGATTAGAAAAGACAGAAATATGTATAATGGTTTATTCTAAAAACATGGAAAGACATGAATAAGAAAATGCCGAACATTTAATACCAAATACCAATTTGCCTTTACATCTTTCCTTGGTAGATGAGCTGTACCCAGTATCCTGGTTTTCTTGTTACCACTCATTGCATACAATGCATTGTACTAAATCACCCCCAATAACTCAGTGAGGAGCAAGGTTCAGAGAAGTGAAAAAACTTGCCCAAGTTCTCTCGGTTTTTAGGCAGTAGAAGCGAAGACAGGGACCCTTGTGTATTTAACTCAATCTTGTGCTTCTGCCCTGACTCATCCCTTTTATTCTGGAAGGCCAGAATTATGTGTAATTTGTCAGAACAATCTTTATTTTAAAAAAAAAAAAATCCTAAGAAGGGAACATTCCATTTCTAAAACCCATTAATCTTCATGTTCTCCCGCAAAAAAAAAAAAATCAGCACAAGTGCTTTCCCTTTCAAATAAAAACATAAACAAGTCTTTAAAGTCACTTTTAAAAGAATTACAAATTGCCAAAATGGCAGCTTCTTGCAACCCCCGACACTTACCTTTCTTATCGATGTACCAGATTTCTTTGCCATACGAATCATTCCAGAACACGGCTCCTGCACAGCTCACAAGGGACATGACCAACAGCAGGATGAACAGCACCAGGATCTGCACGTTGGTCACTTTCTCCACATTTGATTTCTTGAGAGGTGTTCTGACTGAATTCTGCACAATAGTACACACACACACACACACACACACACACAAAAGGGATTACAGTGCACAAACATTTTGATGCAGAGAGAAGGTAAAAAAATCCCAACAGTTGAAAAGTAGAATACATTTCTTTTTTCCAAATAACTAACAGAAGTGTGTGACATTGCTGAATGAGTGTGCCTTTTTCATTAAAAAAAAAAAAAGTTGCATTGCATACTCAAGGGGACCCGCACATACTACAGAATAGAACTGCTCCATGGGGTTTTCTTGGCTATAACCTTTACAGAAGCAGATTGTTAGGCCTTTCTTCCATGGTTCTGCTGGGCAGGTTCAAACTACCAACCTTTATTTAGGTTAGTAGTTGAGCGCAAACCGTTTGTGCCACACAGAGACCTTCTCTGTTCTACTTAACCCATTGCCATCAAGTCAATTCTGACTCATAGCGACCCTACAGGAGAGTAGAACTTCTCCATAGGCTTTCCTAGGCTGTAATCTTTACAGAAGCAGATCACCAGGTCTTTTTCCCAAGCGGTGACTGGTGGGTTCAAACTGCCAACCTTTTGGTTAGCAGCTGAACATTTTAACCACTGTGCCACCAGGGCTCTTCTTTTCCATTTACCCAGTCATAAATAGCCTCACAGCATCTTTTGCTCGTTCCTAAAAAACATATACCCACATGATTCCACCACAGTTGCTTAGCGTTTCTTAAAATGGTGCTGGTTATGCCAATTATTCCATCATGCCCAGATCTGAGAGAAGTTAGGCATGTTCTAAAGCAGCTAAATCAAAATAATAGCTAAGGAATTTGCTTCACAGGTATTTACCCCATGCCCACATCACCATGCTATGAACTAAGTTGTTGTTTTTTTTTAAGTTCAAGGCCTTCACTTCAGGGTCCTAAAAGACCAAAGGACATCTAGTAAAGCCCTGAAATTGGTCATAAAATTCTTACATTTACATATATGGCATTTTTCTTGAATGCATGTCCATCACTTTCTTAACAAATATTTACCATATGCCCCTATGCACGAGACTCCACTCTAGACTCTAAGGACACAAAATTGAACAAGACAGGCATGGTCCATGGCTTTCACCAGATTCTCAGCATCCACTGCAATGTCCACTCTTGGTGATCTGAAGCTCCATTAGTGAGTTAAACTCATCTGACCTCAGTGGCTCACTTGACATTGACTTCATTGAGAAGCATGCAGGACAGGAACCATGGTGTGCCAGCAAGGCAGTGTCAGACACGTTTCTTCAGTTGGAGAAGTTCTCACAACTGTCTCTTTTCTAGTCATTGGCCCCCTAAGTAGCAGGTCAAATGTGAGAGAATGGGACCACATAGGTGGGGGCAGAAGCCACCATGACCTACAAAGCCCTTTCCATATATGAATGGAGAGAGCTCCTGAAACAGTCCCACTGGCGAGCCTTCTGGGTCCCAGCAATAGGGTGCCTAGTTACAAGTTCGTTGTACTGTACTTAGGGAAACCCAGAGCTATGGCTTCTAGTCAGGTATGTACAGTTCACTCAAAGACCTTCTAGTGAGATGCAGTTTACCAATTGTTGTTAGCTGCTGTCAAGTCTGCCTCTACTCATGGTGACCCCATAAACAACAGAATGAAACACTGTTCAGTGTTATGGCATCCCCATGATAAAGTGCGGATTGGACTGTTGTGATCCATAGGGTTTTCAGAAGTAAACCACCAGGCCTTTCTTCCATCTCATTCTGAAAGCTCTGCTAAACCCTGTTCAGCATCATAGCAAAATGCAAGCCTCCACTGACAGACAGGTGGTGCCTGTGCATGAGGTGCATTGGCCAGGAACTGAACCTTTATCTCCCTATGGAAGGTAAGCATTCTACCACTGAACCACTGTCTTACCTAGTGCTGCTATAAAAGAAATACCATAAATGGATGCTTTAACAAACAGAAATTTATTTTCTCACAGTTTAGGTGGCTAGAAGTCCAAATTCAGGGTGCCGGCTCTAGGGGAAGACTTTCTCTCTCTACTAGGTGAGAAGAAGGTCCTTGTCTCTTTGAGCTTCTTCTCCTGGGAGATCTTCACGTGGCTTGGTATATCTCTTCCCCCATCTTGAGACTGACTCAAGATATACCCTACACTACTCCTGTCTCATTAACGTAACAAAGACAACCCATTCCCAAATAGGATTATAACCACAGGCATAGAAGTTATGATTTGCAACACATATTTTTGGGTAAACAGTTCAATCTATAACAATTAGGTGAACCATCAATTACCAGATGTGATGTTGCCGGTAACAGAATAAACATTCCTCCTTTATCAGTTTTCCAGGGAACAGAGCTAAAAAGTTAGCCCAAGTTTATTTTCCCACAGAGAAGGAGAAAGCACGTTATCACAAGATCTAAATAAAGTTTAAGAACCACTGATTGATTTGAAAAGGCAAGTGCACATACAATTAATAACGCAAAATTTTCATCAATACTAAAAAATAACAAAAATAGGTGCCCAGAAATACACAACAAAGAGCTGAGAGCCAAAAAGGCATGTGGGCAGTCAAGGTCAGGAAATTTCCCATGAAAAATGTGATTTTTGAGCTGATTCTTGAAGAATTAACTAACTATTCAAAGAGGAAATGAGTATGACTAGGCTAGAAAGTTCAGGATAAGAGGAGGTGGGAGGTGAGTTCATAAAGACAGATTAGCAAGGAGTTCTGTATGCCAGGCTGAGACAAGGGGAAGATACTGGAAGTTCATAAAAAGAATGTTTTATGTTGGAATCAGCATTTCAGGGAAGTTCATTGAGAGGGGGCATGCAAAGCAGACTAGGGGGAGGAGAGACAGGGTAAGGGCAACTCCAATCAAAAATCCTCAGAACTTCTTCCTGCATTTGCATCACTGGAATGTATTCCACGCTCATTCAAAATCTATACTTGTCAACATGTCTATATTTCCTCAATCACAACCCCTCAAATGTTAGATCTATTCTTCAATAATACATTCTCAGAATTTTGTATATGTTGTTTGATTCTTTTCGTTTACAACAGAAAGCACGTAATCTCCCAGCATAAAAGTTAATAGTCAATAGAGATGAGAAATTTATCACTGTTAGCATATCTAATGTTCTACTCAATGGCACCTAACAACAACAACAAAGTTCTACGGTCTCCTTTTTTGCATTCTTACTAGTACCATTAGTTTCATTTTTTCTAGGCCACTCATTTTCATAAAATACTCAAATACATGTAAACTTTTACCTAACAGTGTTACAATAATGCCACAGCTCATGAAAGTCTATATTCGGCATAGGAAAATCAACTTAGTGTTAGCACATGATGAAGAAAAGCTAAAATCGTATGTAAGTCAAGAACTACCTGTACACAATTTCATCCATCTTCCTCATGTTCCATATCTAAGCAATCAACATATCTTGTTGGTTCCACCACCTGAATGTCATTCCAACCATCCATTTCCTTCCATCACTATTGTTTCCACCCTAGTTCACATTTCCATCTTTTTTCCCTTGGACCACGGTAACAGACTCCTAACTGCTTTCCCTGTCTCCTGTCTTCTCCCCTTCAGTCTATTTTCCACACTGCAACCGCAATTACTTTCCAGAAACAAAAATGTTACTCATTCCTTCATTGGCCTTCCCTTACCCTTAATATAAAATCCAGAATTCCTTCAGATTGTATATAGGGTAGGCTAGCTGCTGTAACAAATAGACCTCCCAAATATATAATACTTCACAGTCAAAAAAAAAAAATTTATCACCTAGCAGTATTGGCATGGCCTTATTCCATGCAGTCATTCAGGAATCCAGGCTGACAGCATCTCCAACATGTGGTCCAGAATCACTGTAGGGAAAGTCTGCATGATAGTCAACCAGAATAGGGAAAGAGGATGGAAGAACATGCATGGGAGATTTTTGTGCACACCACTTCTGCTCACATTCCATTGGTGAAAAATTCCATCATAAGGCTGCATTGAACTGTAGTGTCCAGGAAGAAGATGAGAGTGTGGATCTTGTTGAGCAGCTAACCATCGCTGCTACATGTGACCTATGAGACCCTCCTCAATCCACGCCCTGTCAGTGTCTTCAGTATCCCCTTTCACCACTTTCCTTCTCCTTGCCCATTCAACATTACAGCTCTCCTGAAATTCCCAATTCCTTAGGAGAAATATTTGCTCTCTTTCTCCTCCCACACTTCCACACAGAAAATTTCTCTGTGTGGAATAGTGTTTCCCCACCTACTCCTCTTTGCCTGGCTAACTCTAACGCATCTTTCAAGTTTCAGCTTAAACAACACTTGCTTGGAGAGGCCACACCTGACCCTTGGATTAGCATATATACACTTGGTGTAGGCTCCTACCTTACAGTATTTGTTGTAACAAAGGACATATCACAGTTTATTGGAATTTTGTTTAATGTGCTTAAATTCTTCTTCAGCTATAATCTCCACAAGGGCAGGGACCTCTCAAGATGTCCCAAAGCGTTCTCAAAAGTTAACAACTGAATAAAAAAACCAATTCAAAATGGATCAAGGACCTAAATGTGAAAACTAAAACCATAAAACTCTTAGAAAAGTTAACAACTGAAAGGAATGGTACACGAGAGTAATAACTTACATAGAAATCTCTAAAGTTAGCTTGGCAAAAGAAAAGTCTTACCATACATGACTAAAAGCAGCCAATATAAATGTACTATAAAACGAGCATTAATAACCTAGAAACTTTTTTTGATAATTGAAAGCAAAGCAATAACCTTTGGTTATAAAAATTACTCATTTTAAACTATATCTCACTCAGCTTATAAAAATTACTTAAACCTAAGTTAAAACAAATTTTCCTTCAGTCCTTGAAGACATTGGATAATTATATTTCAGGTAATAAACGTCTGGTGAGAAATAATTTTTAAAGTCAGAGAAATATCTAAAACTAGAGATGAAATATGGACCTCCCTTCAAATTTCAGGGTAGTAAACAGAAATGAGCCTCCTAAACTGGAAAGATACATACTAAACTCTTTCACGTCACAAAAACAGAGAAAAATCTAAAAGCAGTGCTGTTTGTTATCACGGATTGTCTTACCTGCATGAGTTTGGTTTCAAATCCAGTATAAACAACTACGCCAAAGATCCACTGAGTATTTTTAAGTTGTGTACCTCTTAGCAAGACCTGGTCAGGCCCGATTGGAACAGGGCTAAAAACACAGCAGAGCATTTATTAACTACCAAAGAAATTTTCTGTTTTCACAGAGTAAAAGAAAGCATAGACATTCACCTTATGTATATTTTCTTTTGTCAAGCTCAACTTTGGGAGCAAATAACAATAAAATAAATGTTTATCCACAACAACACCTGTTTCTACAAGAGCACTGGGTGGGGGGGGGATGTATATTACCATCCATTTCTCACCATTCCATACCCAAAACCCATTGCTGTCGAGTCAATTCCTACTCATAACAACCATACAGGACAGAGTAGAACTGCCCCATAGGGTTTCCAAGGCTGTAATCTTTATGGAAGCTGACTGCTACATCTTTCTCCCGGAGAGCAGCTGGTGGGTTCAAAATGGCGACCTTGCGCTGAGCAGCCAAGAACTTAACCTGCGCCACCACGGCTTCTTCACCATTCCATAGATACGTTTATTAAAAATGTTAGAGGGAGAAACATTTCTTATACCTAGGGCACCTATAAAATTTATCAACCAAACTGGGACACTTTTGAGAGTAAAAGTTGCCACTAATTATGCCAAGACAACACAATTAAACTGAGACTGTTTCCTGGTTAACCTGCACAAGCTCATAACCCTGCTACTCCACTCAAGACCTAGAAGTTGAATTACTCATCCACTTTTGAAATATTGTTCATTTCATGAACTATATATTTATTTGTCAGGGAGGATTAAGTGAACAAATTAAGCATTAAGTGGACCTATGTGTGCTGATTTCATAATCCTAGGAGGGTTGCCATCCGACTCTGACTCATGGCGACCCTGTGTGTGTCAGAGTAGAGCTATGGTTCATAAGGTTTTCAGAAGTAGATCACCAGGCCTTTCTTATGAGGTACCTCTGAGTGGGCTCAAACCTCCAATCTCCAATGCTGGGAGTATTAATGGTTTGCACCATCCAGGGGTTATAAAGGGATTACATATGGTAATTCAGAGCACACAAAGCAAGTCTAGCTGCCATATTTACTTGGTGTCCTTCCTCCAGGCCTGGGTTGACTCAATACATCAGAAATGCACTCCTTAAATCTTAAGTGATAACTATACAGAAGTAGAGTAGAAGTAAGGAAAAATAGTCATCATAATTAAATCACATTCTTAGTTACTTCTCTTCTTTGGTCACTTTCAAAACCTTGCTCTTCCCACTGATTTACCCCAAGGGATGTGTTTAAAATTTATACTCAAAAGGAACTTGAGCCTGACTTCTCCAGGCCTAGCATTTCCAGGTATACTGATGAAGAGAATGTCATACCTGTCCACCTATATTTAAGAATTTTTTAATAATTACATTGGTGCTCAGGGTATTTACTTTCTCAACTTCAAGTAAAATGTGAACAATTCTAATCTTTTAAAATGTTATTGAGAGAATGAAAATGACCTCATTCTATGTTCCATGAAAGAAAAAAATGTTTGAGAAGAAAAAGATGATACCTTTTACCAGTTAGATACAAGGTTCCAACAAAGCGATCAAAATGACGATTAGGTCCTTCACATTCTATTTTTCCAGATAGGGTTAATAATTGTTTTTTCGTTTGCATTTTAGCTGTTTCTGGCAAAGCCTATAAAATAAAACCAAGGGGAAAATGAAAATAAAAGTTTAATATGCTGTGGCAAAGTTCAATGCCTCCAGTAGTTGATAAAAGACGATGATGAAAGTCAGTGTCTAAAACTGCACTGCACTTACTAGATACTAAAATAATACATATCAAACTTTAATATAAACTTTATCACAAGACTCTGCCGTATCAGCATTTTGCAAAATAATTTTAATAAAGTTGAAAGAGGTAGGAAAGTTTTCAAAACCTCTGTCTACTGAAAATACCATTTTTGACAGTATAACTATAACCAGCCATCATATGATGTTTGATCCTTTTGTGTATGTAGCTGAATTATACACTACTAAACTATTCATTGAAGGAGTCCTGGAGAGACCAGGGACAGAAAAGGCCTTAAACGACAAGTTATGTCAGTTAAAAATTTTGTCTGGAAGAACGGTGCGAACGCTGTTTGCTTCCTCCTTATCTGTCTGCTTGTAGCTGTCTTTCAGATCAGCCAATTAGAACTAGAATTCTGGGCATGCGTGGTAAGAGATCAGGTCGACTAGCGGATGGCCTCATCCATAAATGTTGTCTAGGAACTAAAATCACCGGACATACGTCATGAGCGGTGACCGAGCCCATTGCCAAAGCGAGAAGTCCGTCAGCCACTTCTGTGCCAGAGTTCTACGAGGACCCGTTTTTGAATATATATGAAGTTAATGGATATGCATGACTTCCCTTTCCCGCGTGGTATAAAGCTGCACTTCCAGCCCTTTGTTCCGAAAGAGAGTGCTTTCGGGGAGGACCCCTCCCCCCCCCACAGCCTTACTCTCCGGGCGTAATGAATTATGCCTTGCTTTAAATCCGGTTGACTCTTAACTAGAGTACAAGCGAGGAGCCCATTATGTTTGGTAACACTGGTGGCACAGTGGTAAAGCGCTCAGCTGCTAACTGAAAGGGTGGTTCGAACCCACCAGCTGCTCCATGGGAGAAAGATGTGGCAGTCTGCTTCTGTAAAGACTTACAGACTTTGAAACCCTAATGGGGTAGTTCTACTGTGTCATACAGGGTCGCTGTGAGCTGAAATTGACTTGATGGAAATGGGTTCAGTGGGTTAAACTATTCATGAAGGAGCCCTAGTAGTGCAGTGGTTAAGTGTTCAGCTGCTAACCAAAAGGATGGCAGTTCAAACCCACCCAGCAGCTCCGCTGTAGAAAGTCTTTACAGTGATCTGCTCCCGTAAAGACTACAGCCTAGAAAACCCTATGGGGCAGTTCTACTCTGTCATGTGGGGTCGCAATGAGTTGGAATCAACTTGATAGCACCCAACAACAACAAGATACTCATTATATTATTTGATAAAGTTTGAAGTCTACCACTTAAAAAATCAGGAAACGTATGCTAATCTAAAATCTATGCTTGAGCGTCTGTTTCATGATATGCTTGTCTCCCCAATCTTGCAAAATCATAATAACAAAAAACAAGGAAGAATACCATCAGCAGACCATAAATTTTGAGGAATTTCTAGAAAATAGAGAAAAGGTTAGATTAAATTATATTGGATTGACAAACAAACCAGAGCAGAGTAAACTAAACCAAAGCAAGGATCCTGTTCTGTTTCTAGTTTTGTACAGATGTGTTTTGAGTAGCCAAAGGGAGCATTATTTTGTAAGAAAACAGGTAGGGAGTGACCAGTTGGGCCTTTAGCCCTGATCTCTCTTTCATCAAACACCCAGGGCTGATGAGTAACAGTCTGGATCAGTGGTCCTCAACCCTGACACAATATAATCACCTTAGGAGCTCCACCCTAGATCATGCAGGACCCAGGCAATCAGTATTTTCTAAAACCCCTCAGGATGTCTCAAAGTGCTTCTCAAATTGTATGTGTATACAAATCACCTGAGGATCTTGTTAAAATGCAGGTTTTGATTCAGTAGGTCTGGGATGGGGCCTGGAATACTCCATTTCTAACAAGCTCCCAGGATATGTCAATGCTGATGATGCTGATCTATGGACCACTCTTTGCATAGCAAAGATCTAGTACAGTGGTGCTCAAACTTTTGGATGCATCAGCTTCACCTAGAGGTCTTGTCAAAACACAGATTGCTGGGCCCTACCCCCCGAGTTTTTTATTCAGTAGGTCAGGGATTGTTGTTAGTTGCCACAGAGAACCACTCCATAGTGTTTTCAAGGTTGTGACCTTTCAGAAGCAGTTCACTAAGCCTGTCTTCTGAGGAGCCTCTGGGTGTATTTGAATAGCCAACCTTTTGGCTGACAGTCGAGCACTTAACCGTTTGCACCACCCAGGGACCCCCAGAGGATGGTGATGCTGCTAATCCAAGGTTCACACTTTAAGAACCACCAATTGAAAGACCATGTCATTCCAATAAGATGAGCTCAACCTTCCAGAGAGAAAAAGAGATCATCTGCAAGAGCACCTCAAAAGGATAATAAAGGAATACTACAAACAACTCTACACATATAAATTTGACAGCTTAGATGAAATGGACCAACTCCTCAAAAAATAGAAACTACCATGTCTCACTCAGTATGAAATAGATAAATAGCATTATAACTAATAAGGAAATTGAATACATAATTTTAAAAACTCCAAAAAAAAAAAGAAAGAAAGAAATCTTCAAGCCCAAACAGTTTCACTGGAGACTTCTGCCAAATGCTTATAGAAGAATCAACACTAATTCTACACATTCTCTTCCAGAAAACAGAAGAAGAGGGGACACTTACCAATTTTGTAAAAATTATGAGCAAGCAGACATGTGAACAGTCGAATGTAAAATCAGGGGCTCCCTTACTGAAGCAAACTAATAAAGCAGAAAATCAATTTTCTTGAAGATCAACATCTATTATTTCATTAACAAAAATTTAATTGGAAAACCTTCTCCTCTCATTCATAATCACAAGTTTCACTGATTCAAATGGTAGTTTAAAAATCAGTGGTATACAGGACCACTTAGAACTCATTTACACTCCGTTTTAATCTAGTTATGATATTAGGCATGAGAGTGGTTTTACCACCAAAGTACTAAATAGAAGTAGCCTTAAAACAGTAAACATAAATGTATGATATCCTTTACAATCTGAATTTCATAGGAATAATTTTCCTAGCAATAGTGACACATTCACCCAGCCCCCCTTATAATAATAAAACTAAAATCCTGTTGCCATGGAGTGGATTCCGACTCATAGCAACCCTATAAAACAGAGTAGAACTACACCATGGGGTTTCCTAGGAGCGGCTAGTGGATTCAAACTGCTGACCTTTTGTTTAGCAGCCGAGCTGTTAACCACTGTGCCACCAGGGCTCCAATTAAAAAAAAAAAACCCAAACCCACTACCGTTGAGTCGATTCTGACTCATAGCAATTCCATAGGGTTTCCAAGGCTGTAAATCTCTACAGAAACAGACTACCACATCTTTCTCCCACAGAACTGCTGGTGGTTTCTAAGACCGAACCGTTCTGTTAGCAGTCAATCGCTTTAACTACTGTGCCACCAGGGCTCCTTAATAATAATAAAATACCCTCTAAATATCTCATGAGAATAAAGTATGTCCATTCAATGGCAATGAGCTTTGTTTTTTTTTTTTGTTTTTTTTTTTGCTAGAAAAAAAACAAGTGGTATCTGACAAAACTTTACATTGTGGGCTCAGGTGTAAAATTAGAATAAGAAAAGATATCTTTACCTGCCGTATCTTTAGATTTGTCTCTCCATCTAGATTAGATGTTGCAATATAACACATTGAATGCGATTCACTGAGGAAAATAAAAATAACAATACTGAAGTAATATCTCTCCACAAAATTAATTTCCCAATAATGTTGTACCTGTAGTAACCATGAAATGCGACCTGTGTTAATAACTGTTCTTCAAAAATAAAAGGACTACAAACAACTAATTTGCCAGAGGGCGTTAACAGTCTGATCCTGGCAGCCTAAAAGTCATCTTGCAGAATGAATCCGTAGAAAAGGTTTTGCTCCCACGTCTTTCACCCTTACAGGCCTATGTGATTACCCTTTAAATCCAAGAAGAGAAATGGTTGAGGATGAACAGGAGATGTGATGTAGTTCAGAACAGCCCCAATTCCAGAGTATTCCAAAATCATATCCAGGATCAAATCCAAAGTGGAAACTAAAATCCCCAAAGTCCTAGCCTTTAGGGTCTTTAGAATGAAGGTGTATCTTCCAGGACAGCTCTGGACAGAGCAGAGACCCTGAGACAAACATTACACTTTTCTGTTCCACTTTACCTCAACAGTTAGGGAATGAAGGCCCTGAATTAACAAGCATTTACCTTGCTAGATTTTATTCATGCTAAATGCCAAGTCATTTCTGAAAATTAATCATTTTGAAGGAAAATCCACAAAGAATAACAAAAATTCTCCATTAAAGTTTACTTAGTCTTAAATTCAGACTTATCTCTTCAGTTGTATCTCATTCACTAAAATATCAGCTTTAAAGTACAATAATCCCGCATTAATTTTTCTAGGATTATAGCCAAGACCATATGCCCCAAAATACGACTATCATGTAGTCTAATATTAAAAATATAGCTTCATTAGGGGATACCAGTGATATACAGAGTAAACACCTCTAAACATTCTCTCATATAAAAGCAATGAAAAAAACTAGCAAAAACTTGTCAGAATTAACTCTTTAGAACTCTGAAAATTAATCAAAGGTTTGAAACAACCAGGAAGCTTTTATTCAAGAAAAATAGCTGAATCTTGGCTTAAAAACAAAACAAAACAAAATACAATGAGCTTTGTAATGTTTTAACTTTTCCTAGTCCTATTACCTTCTCTCTAGCTCAGTGTTAGCCTTGAAAAGTAACAGTCCCTATTCCTGGTACTTAAAAGAGGAAAACAAAACTAGAGCTCTTTCAAAGCCTTATTTCCAAAGAATTGTCATTATATGACCTTGTCATGGATTGAATTATGTCTCCCCAAAAATGTGTGCATCAATTTGGCTGGGCCATGATTTCCAGTATTGTGTGCTTGTCTTCCATTTCGTGATTGTAATTTTATGTTAAAGAGGATTAGGGTGGGATTGTAACACCTTTACCCAGATGTCTTAGTCATCTAGTGCTGCTACAACAGAAATACCACAAGTGGATGGCTTTAACAAAGAGAAATTTATTTCCTTACAGTAAAGTAGGCTAAAAGTCCAAACTCAGGGTGTCAACTCCAGGCGAAGGCTTTCTCTCTCTCAGCCTTCTCCTCAGTGTTCCGCGAGACTAGGAGCTTCTCTGCACAGGGACCCCTGCCCAAAGGACGCGTCCTGCTCCTGGCACTGCTTTCTTGATGGTATGAGGTCCCCCTGTCTCACTGCTCACTTCCGTCTTTTATATCTCAAGAGATTGCCTCAGGACACAATTCAATCTTGCAGATCAGGTCCTGCCTTACTAACACAACTGCCACCCATCCTCCCTCATTAACATCATAGAGGCAGGTTTACAACATAACAGGAAAATCACACAGTACCAGGAATCATGGCCTAGCCAAACTGATACACACGTTTTTGGGGGGACATAATTCAAGTCATGACACCAGGTCACATCCCCGATCCAATGTAAAGGGAGTTTCCCTGGGGTGAGGCCTGCGCCACCTTTTATCTCTCAAGAGATAAAAAGGAAAGGAAAGCAGAGAGTCAGGGGACCTCATATCACCAAGAAAGCAGTGCCAGGAGCAGAGTGCATCTTTTGGACCTGGGGTCCCTGCCCAGAAAAGCTTCTAGTCCAGGGGAAGATTGATGAGAAGGCCGACAGAGAGAGAGCCTTCTGCTGGAGCTGATGCCCTGACTTTGGACTTTTAGCCTACTTTACTGTGAAGAAATAAATTTCTCTTTGTTAAAGCCATCCACTTGCGGTATTTCTGTTATAGCAGTGCTAGATGACTAAGACAGACCAGTTTAGTCATTATCTGAAAGACCCCACTTAAAAGGCTTGTTTTTACTTAATCTGACCTGGGCTTATCCAGTGCTAAAAACTTCTCCACTACAGGGTAGGGAGGGGATGGGAAGAGTTTGTCAGAAACATTTACAGGAAAGAGTTTTAATGCCACAGCTGTCTGAGATGATGGGCAACATTTGGGGCAAACAATAGACTAACCAAAATGCTAAAAAGAAAAGTTAAGGAATGAGATGTTCATGTAGGCTTTGGAAAAAAAAAAAAACTTTGTTGTCGAGTTGATTCCAACTCATAGTGACCCTATAGGACAGAGCAGAACTTCCCCAAAGGGTTTCCAAGGAGCAACTGGTGGATTTGAACTGCCAAGTTTTTGGTTAGCAGCTATAGCTCTTAACCACTACACCACCAGGGTTTCTAGGCTTTGAAAAGCTCCTACATATTCCTGAGAATCTAGAAGGCCACATGCCACTGTAAGGCTTTGTGCATACACGGGGCTGTGCACATGCTCAGAAAAGACCCAAGAAGCCCCTAAACTCTCACACCTGGCTAACCTTGAGCTCTGCTCAAACAGGAAATGAAGGCTAAGGCAGAGTGTAAAGTTGAAGCTGAGTGTTGAAAGCATGTTCCAACATGCATGCAGAGCCCCTCAGCAAAGACTGGAAGATTTATTTGTTCCAGACATTTAATGAAATCTCTGTCAAATCATAGGTTGACCATTCAGCTGAGTAGAGACTTCAGTGGCTACACATGGCAAAGAATACAAAATTTACAGAGTCCCAAAAAA